GCTGGAGCTGGGCAGAGAGGTGGGGAGTAGGGTTTATGCCCCTTTGGTGTTTTCAAGGCTCCCAGTGTATGAAAACATGGGGTCACAAAAACTGTGGCATATTTAAAAATAATTATACTTAACAAATGAGACGTTTGAATACCCAAGCAAACCAAGAAAACAAGACAATGGTGCTATTCACAAAGTAAATCCAGGACTTATTAAAAGTATGAATTCGGCTAAACGGGTGATGGGGATTAAGGAGGGCACTTGTAGTAATGAGCACTGGGTGTTATAGGTAAGTGATGAATCACTGAACTCTACTCCTGAAATGAATATTACACTATATGTTAACTAACTAGAATTTAAATAAAAATATGGGGAAAAAAGAAAGTATGAATTCAGGATGTGTTGCATGCCGCTGGTGGTAGGGATGGACATGGGACACGCACGTGCGTCTGGCAATATCTTCTTTCTATTCTGTCGGTGGATCCCCTTAACCCTGTGGGTAACCCAGAGAGTACTGTTAAGTCTAAATTTGAGTCCTGCTTCAGTGGGGAGCCCTCCTTTCCTCACTCCGATGCTCTGGGCAATTAAGTCCCTTCTAGCTATCCTTTGATACTTGTTAATGCTTGTCCTGCTCGGCTGTCTGGGAAGACACAGAAGGGCCTCCTTTTTGGGCTTGGCCTCCAGGCGCTGAGGGTGGGGTAGCCTAGGATGAGTTGGCAGCTCAGTCGCTGGCTCCTTGGGGCCTCTCCCAATGCCACGGTTTGTTCAGAACATTTTCTCTGAGTCACCCTTGGTGATAAGACGGGCGGGAGCCTCTAAGCAAGTCAGGTTTTAGATTCTTACCCTCAGAGGTTTTATTTCAGAATTTGCAAGTTCTTTAACAAAACTATAGGAGCTTGGGCAGAGCTGTAGTCATTCCAGGAGCCAAAACAGCCGAGACAACAATAAACAGATGCATAAGATTGAAGGAAGCTTTATTCTCTGGCTTCCCCACTGCTGCCTTCATTCATTCATTCAACCAATACTTGCTGTGCCCCTTCTAAGAGCCAGGCTCCATGCTAAGTGCTGGAGGAATAATGGTGAGCAGATGCAGACCTAGGTCCCTCCTGAGTGAAGTCCACTGTGTAGTGGGGGGCTAGAGACCGTAAATGAAAATCACAAAGCATTGTAAATAGCCATAGCAGCAAGTGCTCCAAAGGAGAGGTACATGCTACCATGAGCCCTATATGGGGTCTGGCTTAATTAGGAGGGAAAGAGAAGGATCTCTGAAGCCAGATATTGAGCGGGATCTAAGGGAGGAGAAGGAAAAGAGAGGGAAGTCTCTTTTTGGAACCAACAATGCATGTGCAAAGGCCCTGAGGTGGGACAGAAGAGAATATAAAAACCAGAGAAGGAAGTGGGGCTGGAGCAGGGTGGTGGAGATTTAGGGTCATGCCTGAGGCACTTTGGAGCTGGGGGCAGGGTGTGGAGGCTTAGCATGGTCTGCAGGAAGGAGGCCACTTTCAAAGGGCTTCTGGGCCTCCCAGATTTTCTTTCAGCCTCAGAGCAATGGGAAGTCACTGAAAGGCTTAAAGCAGGGGGAGGAGACTGGAGATGCCTGAATCACATTAGCATTTTAAAGATCCCTCTGGCTGCAGTGCTAAGGTCTCTGAAGGTGATTTCTGCTTCATAAGCAGGGCCAGGATTCAGTTACTGGAAGCAGAAGCTGGGGTGGCGCAGCCCAATGTGGGTTTGAATCCCAGCTTCTTGCTTCATTTCCAGCATGGCCTAGGGCAAACCAGTATTTCAGACTCTCAATTTCCTCCTATATAAAGTGGGGATAATAATACCTCCTTGCACGTTGGTGTGAGGGATAAGCAAATTTCAGTAAATAAATGGTCTGGCCTGACACACTGCGAACTTCCCTTGGGATTTTTAAAAGTAGAAACCTGCTTTGATATTATACAGAGTACGAAAAAGCCAAGACTCAGCCCATCATACGGACTTTCAGCTTTACATGTAGGAAATATTTTGGACTTCCCCTGAACTTCACCTTCTTACAGATGGATAGTCTGGAAATGCCGCTGCTGCTTCTTTAAACAAGATGGTAATAAAACAACAGCGTAGTAAACTGTTTGTACAAGGTGCTACAGCCACGCCTTCTGATTTTGGCATTTATCAGATGACAAACCATGGAAAGATGAACCAGAAAACATACACATGACAAGGGAGCATCACAGAGAAGCAAGCCACTAGCTGTGGGTTAAATGCATTTGTTGGTGATGAGTAAGAGTCTGCTGGGCGTCTTATATTTAGCCGGAATGGGGCTGGTAAGTAAGCCTGTTTTGTTCAGGCCTGGTTTGGACATTCCAGTGCTGTCCTCTCCTAAACAGCCCAGGGCCCTGGTGTAAGGGTGCTCCAGATGACCTTAAGTCAAGGGTCTTGTCAAAAAGACTCAGGAGCCAACTTGAAGAGGCTCTCACTGGCCAGTGATGAGACAATGTGAGCACCAAGGATATGAAACATATCAACTACGTTTAATTTCTTGAGTCGCTCATGACATTGACAAACATCTTGATCACCATTGCAAGGGGATAGGAAACCAATATATTATTTTGCAAATTTGTGAATAAAGGAAAGGAATCAAACATTTAACCTGTCTTTCTGACAGGAACTGTGCCAGAGAGTAGCTGAGGGGAAGTTTATCCTTATAGGAATATTTCAGCTGACAAACAGAGAAGGAATGACAGAGTTAGATTATCACCACTCTGTGACCCTTCATAAATTAAGGAATCTAGATATTGATCATCAGTGGCTGCTAATATCATAAAAAGATAGAAAGGACCCCCCCTCCCCCTCCCCCCATCACGGGCTGCCTGATAGAAGCAGACAAAGAAATAAAATTTTGCCAAGAACAACAACAACAAAAAACTGAACTGGAAACAAGTGAACTAGACCCAGCCACAAATTTTAAGAAAGGTAGGGGTGTTAAGTAACATAGGCTGTGGGAAACAACATGGCAAAGGGCCCAGTTCCTTAAAAAAAAAAAAAAAAAAAAAGGAATTACAAGGGAAAAGGACATAGAGCAGAAACACAGAGACTTTAGTACGGTATATCACCCAACTACAATGTATGAATTAAAATAAACTATAAGCATCTTTTTTAAACATCAATGAGAAACTTCAAATCTTGCTGGGATATTTCATGATTTTTAAGGAATTATCGTTAATTTTTTAGGTGTGCTAATGGTATCATGGTTCAGTTAAAAAAAAGCTTTATTTATTTATTTACTTATTTATTTATTTTAGCAATGCAAACTAACATATGTGCAGATGAATGATATGCTGTCTGGAATTTGCTTCAAAATAACAGGAGGGGTGATGGGAGGATGGGGAGGGTAAGAAAGCCTATTAGCCATGAGCTGATAATTGACGATAGGCCACAGTCTCATGGGAGTTTGGTATTTCCCTTAATAGAAAGTTAAAAAATAAATCCATTGACCAATCCAAAATCTGTTGATCACTTTCTCGTAATATTTAGCTATTACTGATAGCATTATATTAACATGAAGTCTCACTTGGGCATTTCGTCCAGTTACTTTCAAGGGATGTCTGAGGGCTGGCCTTGGCAATTAGGAAATGTGGGTTCTAATCTTACTTTCCCATTCACCAGCTGAGTGATTTTGGAACTTCAGCTCTCTGGGTCTCCCTGCCCTCCTTTGGGAAAGGAGGGCAGGGATGATTTCTAACATCCTGCTGTCTGTGTTTGCTTAGAGCAATGAAGAGATTTGGGTCCTACAGTCTGACTGTCTGGGTTGGAATCCCAGTTTTCCCGTATGTATCCTCCGGTAAATTTACTTAATCCCCCAGAGCTTTAGCTTCCAGATTTGTGCGATGGAAAGAACAGTAATGCTTACCCCAAAGGGATCTTGTGAAGATTAAATGAGATACTGAATGCATTCATTCCATGAACACTGAGCACCTAGCTTCCAGCTCTGGGAGGGGCAGAGGGTGGAGCAGTGAGGAAAATGCTGGGGCCAGGCTGTTTGGAGCCTAACCGGGGATCCCAGACAACACTCAGTAAACACGAAATAAGAAGCAGGATTTCAAACAGCTAGAGCTAGGAAGAAAACCCAACACAGCTATTTCATGGAGGGCTACTTTCAGGAAGGTGGGTCGCAAATTTAAATAGGTTGGTTGGGTTGAGGAAGTTTGCCTGCCAAGCGTGCATAAATGAACTGACTACATCTTTGTCTACCATGGCTCCACATTTGGCAGTGTGGGGGCATTTTTGATTGCCACACGGAGGGTGTGGGGAGGGGGTCGTTCTGGCATCTAGTGGGTAAAGGCTACCAGGGATGCCGTGCAATATCCCTCAACGCAATATCCCCCTCACCAAAAAATTATCAAGTCCAAAATGTGAATAGTGGCAGGACTGAGAAACCTTAATAGAGAAAGAACAGCAGGGCAAGGGTCCTGGGTCAGAAGGGAGCTTGTCGTGTGTGGGGTACAAATGGAAAGCCAGTGTAGTGAGAAACCAGGATGGTGACAGAGGACACAGGGAGGTTGGGTTAGATGAGGGAGCGCCTTTTAAGGCACAGTGAGGAACCCTAGAATTATCCCCAAAGCAGTGGGCAGCCCTTGGAGAGTTCTGAGCAGGGGAGGAAGTTAAGTCAGGTAATGCGCTTAGCACATATAAGCTCTCTAATAAATACTGTCTATCATCACCAGCACCTTTGTATCTTTGCTACTTTGCCCCCGCCCCAATTCAGGCCTCAGCGCGGCCGCAGTAACTAACTCCTCCTGGCCAGCAGAGGGCGCCGGCCGACACTTGGCCTCCGGCCGCCCAGGGCGGGCCTCCTCTTGCCGTCCCCCTTCCTCTTCTTTTCCCCTCCGGAGAAGTCGGGAAGGTGGCGGCGGCGGCGGCGGCGGCGGCGGCGGTTGTCCCGGCCGGGCCGGTTGGTGTGACCCGCCAGCCCGCGCTCCGCAGCGTCCGCACCGCGCCCAGCGCAGTCGAGTCGAGCCGAGGCGGCCAGGTCCGGCGCGGGCGGCGCGCGCTGACGGAGGGCGGCGGCCGCGGCCAGGGCGGCCCGAGGGACCGCGGGGCCCCGGCGCAGCGCCGCCCGGCTCCCGCTCCCGGCCCTGCCGGCCTCCTCCCTCGGCGCCGCGGCCATGGCGGCCAGCGCGAAGCGGAAGCAGGAGGAGAAGCACCTGAAGATGCTGCGGGACATGACCGGTCTCCCGCACAACCGAAAGTGCTTCGACTGCGACCAGCGCGGCCCCACCTACGTGAACATGACGGTCGGCTCCTTCGTCTGTACCTCCTGCTCCGGCAGCCTGTGAGTGCCGGGCGGGCGGCCGGGCGTGGGCCCTTCCCCCGGGTTGGGGGGCGGGGGAGCGGGCGGCGCGGCGGGGCGGGGGCGCCGGGCGGCGCGGGAGGCCCGCGGGGGCGCCCGCTCGGGCCGGGGCGGCCGTTGGGGCGCGGGGGGCGGGGGGAGCGGCGGCGGCCGGTGGGTGGGATGCGCTCGGCCCCTGCCTCCGGCTGGGGATGCGCTTTCGGCTTCTCCGCGCGAGGGTCCCGACCCGGGGCAGCCTTCGTGGGTGGGGCGTGGGCGAAGGTGGGGTCGGGAAGGGGCGCCCGGGGCGAGCATCGCGCGTCCCGCGGAGCCGGCGCCGCCTCCCTCGGGCCTCCGCTCTCCAGGGCGCTGACCCGCTGGGGCTGTAGGGGAGAGACCGGAGGAGGCTGGGGAGGGCCGCGCGGGTCTTTTGTGTGCCCCGCCTCTCGGCGGCCGGGGCGCGGAGGTCCCCAACGAGGCACCTGCCGGGCGCCCGGAGAGGGGCTGGGGGAGAAGCTGGGGTGGGGAAGAGCAAGGATGCGCAGCCTGGGCTTTTTGTCCCTCGGGTGGAGAGTACCGAGGTCCCTGGGAGAAAGCAGGCACTGAGGAATAGTAGCGGGATTAAAATGTCTTGATGGCAGAGATTTGAATCCCAAGGGAAAAGTTGGAGAGGCTTAATTGCGAGAGAGGAAGAGCAGCAGATGTGAGGTGGTAGGGTTTTAGCTTTATGGTCCAAAGAGAGTCTTGAGTTTGGGGAAAGTTTTAATGGAAACAGGATACTGACCAGAAGCTGTGTCATTGTACTTGTGGTGGTGTCTGTAAGACTTCTCTTATCAGTATCGGTATCAGGCTGTAAACAGAAATTGGGAGAGATGGGAAGACAGCATTGCTTCAGAAAAATGGAGACTACCGTCTTGACTTACTGGGTTGGATTGTATTCTTATTTGCTTCATTAAGCTATTATTTGGATAAGATTCTTGTTACTCTGTTTCTCTGAAATTGTCTTTGGAAAGTTTGCGGATGATTTTGGAACTGATAAGTTGCTTTTATGTACTAATTATCTTGTATTTAAAGTAACTGTCACTTAAAACCTTTGTTACACCAAAACATATACTTAGGTTCTTCATTTGTAGCATTCCTTCATATAAAGTAATTTGGGCACCCCTCCCCCCCCGCCAAGAAAAAACCTTTGTAAGATTAATACTGAGGCAAAGTACCATAATACATTAGAAAATATTTGGAAAATGCAGGACATGCCCAGCAGTGCACGATTTGCTTTTTTTTCTTCATGTTGGGCAACAAGGCATTATTAGTCTTTGAATGTTATTTCCTCAACAGACATATACCGGGTGTCTACTGTGTTCTTTGTGAAGCCTTGGGATGTGCTGATGAATACAGTAAAATCCCTGTTCTTTTGGTGCTTACATTCTACTAGGGGAGATAATAATACGTAAGTAATTAAATGAGAAAAATGTCTGGGATAAGTATGCACTAAAATAGTATGATAGCAGAGACCTTGTTTGAGAGGTTACTTTTAGATTGTAGTTAGGGAAGCACTCTGAGAAGTTGACAATTAGTGATATTATTGAATTACAGCGGAATCATAGAGCTGGGTGGAATCTAGGAGATAGTTTGGTTCATCCTTTTCACTTACAGATAAAGTGACATGGATTAGGCAACTTTGGTTCTAGAACGAAGCCAACAGTCCAGTGTTTTACGTGTATTTGATTTCTATTATGTGCATAGTAAATATGTCCTTTGTTTACTAAACACAAGATCCTTTGGTACATATGAAATACTTGGTTTGGAAAAAATGTATATAGTTACTGTTTTGAATTTCTGACATTTCTCTGTGGTTCTTACATCTCGCAGGGTAACATTTAGTCTATGCAGCAAATGTATGAGATCAAGAAATATTTACACTTTTCTTCCTAAAACCCACATTTCTGAAACATTGTATATAAGAGGATATCTCAGTATAATGACAATTGTTTATTTTAAATAATTTAATCTGTAATAGATAGGGCTTCATATCTCCATTCACTGATGATTTTACAAATGTTTATTGCTTGACTGGCCTATGTCATACATTGTGGGAGGTACTGGTGTTCCTTGGATCCTCCTGTCTTTAAGGAGCCTGCATTTTAAATATGTAAACAGTGATGACACGTTGTAATATTTCCTTTCTCTAAATGAGCTATCCCTGAAATATGTAAATGGGTAGAGAAAGCTTCACAGAAGATCTGATGCCTGAGCAAAGACCTTTAAAGACAAGATCCATGTGGCTGACTGCTTCATGTTGTTGAAAGAACAAGTACTTGTGAGCTAGATAAACCTGGTCCTAAATCCTTGGTCTGCTTATTAGCTGTGTGGTATTGAGAATGTCACTCAGTCTCCTTGAGTTTGAATTTTCTCATCCATGAATAGTGAGGATAAGGTTTACCTTGTAGATTTTGGATGTAGATTAGTTTTCAGTATTAGAGATAGCATGTGTTTAACGTCTCACCTGATGCCTGGTACATAATAGCTGCCCAGTAGATGGAAGGTATTAACAAGGGGGAAAGGATATTCCATGACTAGGGAACAGTATGTGAAAGAACATTGAAACGAGAAGCACCTTTACAAAAGTCTATGAGTTTGGATTTTTCTGTTTTTAAGTAAGACTTTTTCCCTTGGCTTAATGATGTTGCCTAGATTTCTCTCATCCAAAGATGGCTGCTTCCAGCTCCTGGGGCTGCATATTGCCTTATTTTATATCATGTCCCAACTTTTCCAGAAGTTCTGCAATTCACTCAGGTCATATAGCTACCTTGAATAGTGCCCTGATTGGACTCCTATTCTACAGTGACTTCATTAGAACAACAAAGATCCCCAAATAGAGTCTCAAATCAGAAATCTGGGATTCTTGAGAAGGAAGGAATAAATGCTGGATCAAATGTCTATTGCAAAAATATTGAAGGGACCTATTGAAGCTCCTAAGGATTTCTGTCCTTGAAAAGCAGTAATAAAGGAATATAATTTGAGAAGAATTAAGTAACTATTGAGTTTATAATTATTATATGTTTGCTATTTAGATGAGATGGTATACATGGAAAAATATAATTTTGAAATCAGATTCTGCCACTGCCACTAGCTTTGTGACTAGGGCAAGGTATTAAGCCAGGTCACCATGTGCCAGTTGACCTGGATCCATCTTTTCAGCCTCAGTTTCTTTTGTATTAAGATAATGCATAGCTTAAGGTTGGTATGAGGATTAGATGGTACAATTTGAGTAGTTACTGAACATATACTATATGAAAGGATGAGGCTAAGCAGTGGATTTTCAAAGTATAAGGCCTCTAGCTACCATCAGGAAAACTTGATTGCCTAGAAATAAACAAACAGTATCTACTGTCACGAATTCTAAATTTTAGAGGTTAGTCACATACCTTTTATCATTAATTTAGAGTATCTTTGTTTAAACAAATTGAACAAGCATCTTACTGTTTATTTTAGTAGACTCGGAATCTTCTTCCCGACGACTGTCATATGCTTGTTTGATGCTCATTCAGAGTATGTAACTGAATTCATATTGCAAAACTTTAAATTGGGTGCAGTTATACTATTTATTACTGAGGTAGAATGGGGGTATTGTAACAGATTGATTTGTCACTTTCGTTCTGGTTCTAGCTGCCGAAATACTTAAAATTATGAATGGATAGCCAACAACAAAACATTGCCTTCATGCCAAAGAACTTTAGTTGATTTAAAGACTAGTTTTAAACCAAATTATTTAACATTAGTATAATCCGTAAATAAGAATTGTTCATCTTTAAAAAGTGATTCACAAGTTTTTCAGAGAGGGTTTAGATAAAAAATAACATTTAAGAAACACTGTCTCAATACCAGCTATTTTATGTGGTCAGGGGATTTGAAGTGGGAATTTCATGGGTGTATAAATATAGCCTGATTTTAACTTACACGTTATTGTGTGCATTTTGACTTTTGTAGTGAATATTGCAAGAATTTTGACTTTAAAGTTAGATGAAAAGGCATTTAATCTGTTTTTATACATTCATTAGCATTAGAGTGGATTGGAATCAAATACTCTTTTGGAGCTCTGTAATATTCAGGATCTCATGAGGTTACAGTGGGCAGTGATTTATGTCTTAAATTCCTTTTTCATTTTTTTAGTACTCTAATGTGGCTGTATTTGATGAGGTATTTTGAAAATGTAGTACAATTTCAATTTAGTATAAGTGGGAAAATTATCTGATGCTTCCCCATTATGAAGGACAGAATTTTTTTAAAAGCAAACATGAACTTCCTGGCACTAGTACATGTGTTGGGGATATAACAAAGTATTTGTTGAAATGGAAAATACAATAATAACTATTAGTCACATTTATTGAGTGGTAGCTGTGTGTCAGGTGTGATTCTAATAAAAATCTTATGAGGAAGGTGCTCTTATTTCTCCCCCGCCCCCCAGCTTTAAATTGTAAAATTAGCATACATTCTTTTTTTTTTTTTTTTAAGATTTTATTTATTTATTTGACAGAGAGAGACACAGCGAGAGAGGGAACACAAGCAGGGGGAGTGGGAGAGGGAGAAGCAGGCTTCCCGCCGAGCAGGGAGCCCGATGCGGGGCTCCATCCCAGGACCCTGGGCTCATGACCTGAGCCGAAGGCAGACGCTTAACGACTGAGCCACCCAGGCGCCCCTTAGCATACATTCTTAATGCTTTGTTGTGATAACCCTGGTTGATGTTGAGATCCAGAACTAATGATGATTCTACCAACTAACAAAGGTATAAAGGTTTCCCATGAATATTGTAAATTATTGTGAATTCTGTATTTTGGGGATTTAAATAGTAGATTTTAAACTTCATTGGATTTTTAAAAGCAGGACAGATAGTTTATGGATGTACGTGCATTTTTGCTTTATAGCGATGCTTTTTAAAAAATTTAAATAACTTGACTTTGTGTTTTCTTTGAATTTTATTCAGAAATTGCTGTTGTATATTG